AAAACTAGGTAGTGAGGAACTGTAGAATGCATTTTGCCTCTAGGACATGATCCAAATAATTCAGACTAATCTGTTGACAAAGTTCTGTAAAAGTGGGTAGAACAAGCAGATTAGACTATAATAATTTAGGTGTGTGGTGGTGTAGGAGAATAGAGGTGATGATAAAACTATGATAGGGGCACCTGGGTGGCTCAGTCGTTAAGCATCTGCCTTCTGCTCGGGTCGTGTTCCCAGGGTCCTGGGATCAAGCCCCGCATCGGGCTCCCTGCTTGGTGGGAAGCCTGCTTCTCCCTCTGCCACTCGCCCTGCTTGTGTTCCCTCTCTCGCTGTGTCTCTCTCTGTCAAATAAATAAATAAAATTAAAAAAGAAAAAGAAAACTATGATAGAACAAGTAGTAATTGGAGTGAAGGAGGAACTGGGGATTGTCAAAGTTTTGAATTTGAGTTTAAGTCACTCCTTTAGACTGGATAAGGTTAAAACTCTTTCCCTAATAGGAACTGAATCTGAACATGTTTTAGGCATAAGTGGTCTTTCTGCCACCCTTATCTGGTCACTCCCTCTTCAATCATCCATTCAACTGCTGAGTGGGTGCAGTAGATACCCTCTTACAGTCAGAGGGTCCCTCTAGTGGTGAGCAGCAACCGCTACTTCTATAGCAGGACCCTGCAATCCAAATGCACGTAGGGCCTGCTAAGGGGAAAAGTGATAACTAAAAGTTAAGGAAACCAAGTGAGATCATAGGATAATAAAGCTGGAGGGGCACCTGGGTGGCTCGCTTAGGCATCTGACTTCAGCTCAGGTCATGATCTAGGGATCCTGGGATTGAGCCCCGTGTGGGACTACACAATCAGCGCGGAGGCTGCTTCTCCCTCTCCCTCTGCACTTCCCCCTGCTACTGCGGGGGCACGCGTGCGCTCTCTCTCTCCCTCTCACTCAAATAAATAAAAATCTGGGGTCCTGGGTGGCTCAGTTGTTAAGCATCTGCCTTCGGCTCAGGGTCCTGGGATCGAGTCCTGCATCGGGGCTCCCCGCTCCGCGGAAAGTCTGCTTCTCCTCCCACTCCCCCTGCTTGTGTTCCCTTTCTCGCTGTCTCTCTCTGTCAAATAAATAAAATTTTTAAATATCTTTTTTTAAAAAGGATAATAAAGCTGGAAATCCTGGTTTAATGTTTTTCTCTTAAGCATGTCAGTCTCAACTATTCTGAAAGTTATTCAATAGAGTTGGAGTCGCATCCCTTCTTGCCGTTTAAAATATATTCCAGGGGCACCTGGCTGGCTCAGTTGGTTAAGCATCTGCCTTCGGCTCAGGTCATGTTCCCGGGGTCCTGGGATTGGGCCCCGCGTCGGGGCTCCTTGCTCAGGGGAAGCCTGCTTCTCCCTCTCCCTCTCCCTGCTACTCCCCCTGCTTGTGCTCTGTCAAATAAATAAAATCTTAAAAAAAAAAAAAAAGTTGGCTCCATGCCCAGTGCAGAGTCCAAAGTGGGGCCTGAACTCAGGACCCTGAGATCAAGACCTGGCCTGGTATCAAGAGTCAGACGCTTAACTGACTGAGCCACCCAAGAGCCCCTCTTTCTTTTTTTTTCTTAAAGATTTTCTTTTCTTTTTTTTTTTTTAAAGATTTTTTATTTATTTATTTGACAGAGACAGAGATAGCGAGAGCAGGAACACAAGCAGCGGGAGTGGGAGAGGGAGAGCAGGCTTCCCGCCTAGGAGGGAACCCGATGTGGGGCTCGATCCCAGGACCCCAGGATCATGACCTGAGCTGAAGGCAGATGCCTAACAACTGAGCCACCCAGGCTCCCCTAACACATTTTTTTGTTTGTTTGTTTGTTTGTTTTTTTAAGATTATTTATTTATTTGACACAGATCACAAGTAGGCAGACAGGCAGGCAAATTCTGTCAGTTTTCTATCTTATGAAATACTCGAAATCCAACCATAT